TGTGTCATAGCGCAAGAGTCAGGTGCAGGCGTGAAGTTGCCAAGTCTTCAGACTTGGGGCTATGCAGCAGCAGTTCCGGCGTCACGGAATGATATAGAATAGAGCTGGGGACTTAAATGCCAAATCCACACATGCCCACACCATTACACACACATACACCCACACTCTCTCTGAAGGGACATTTAAGACACGATTCAATGGTCATCAACACACCATTCACCACCAGAAGCATGAGACTGCAACGAGACTGTCCAGACATATCTGGAGATTGAAGGATGAAAACAAACCTTACAGTATCGGGTGGTCCGTTGTGAGGAGAGCCGCACCATACTCTAACATCTCGAAGCGCTGCAACCTGTGTCTGGCCGAGAAGGTCACAGTAGAAATTTCCTGGGCCGACAAGACCCGCTCCCTCAACAAGAGGTCAGAGCTTGTGTCCAAGTATCGTCATGAAAACAAGTTCTACCTCCGTAACTTTGTCCACAAGGTCACGTGAATCTAGCTGGTAGTCCCGCTGCATATTTTGTGTGTGTGTGTGTGTGTGTGCGTGTGCGTGCGTGTGGACGTTGGTCACATCATACAGGAACGGCGTTTGCGCTGGCTTGGACACGTGGCACGGATGGAAGATCACCAGTTGCCGAAGTGTGTTCTCTTCGGTGACTGCCTGCCCCGCGCCCCGTGCATGGTCCACGCAAGAGGTGGAGGGACGTCGTTATGGATGACTTTGCGTCGGTTGAGCCACCGGTGCCAACATGTGGATGGTACGATGCAGCCCAGAACCGTCCAGAGTGGCGTGCCATTGCCCGTCGACCACCCAAGGCACCCTCTGCTGCTTGCTACGGTTGCGCCTGCGGCCGAATGTTCCGTCGAAGCGGCGACCTGAAACGCCATCAGTCATTCTGTCGTCGGCTGGGGAAATAACAATCCACTATCATTGCTACGCAATGGGCAAGGTCAAGATCAAGGTCAAGGTGGGCGTGTGTGTGCGTGTGTGTGTGTGTTTGTGTGCATGCGTGAGAAAGAGAGTGCGTGTGGGTGATTGGATAAGTGCGGGTGGGAAGTATGTGTGCGGTAGGTGTGAGAATGAACGGATGAGTATTGTGGGCGTACGCGCGCGCGCATGTGTGTGTGTGTGTGTATGTGTGTGTGTAGTTCAAGTACCTGGGGTGTATCATCCACTGTGGCGGCCGATCTTCGCAGGATATCAGCGCTCGGGTGGCAAGTGCGTCCCGGGCTTGTGGTGCTCTGGAGCAATCTGTTTTCAGGAACAAGAACTTAGATCTTCATATTAAACGCTGTTTGTTTAATGCTTGTGTCCTGTCTCTGCTCCTGTATGGGTCCGAGTGCTGAACGCCGCTGAAGCAGGACCTCCGTCGCATGTCTGTTTTCCACATGCGATGCTTGCGGTCGATATTGGGTATCACACGCCATCATTGCTGGGATGACCACATATCCAACAGCCAGCTGCTTGAGTGGTGGGGTGACTCTGAAACCATCGTCACCAACGTTCAGCATCGGCGCCTCGAGTGGCTAGGCCATGTCGCCCGCATGGACGATGTGCGGTTGCCCAAACAGTTGCTGTTTGGTACCCTGCCATCTCGTCGCCCGGCCCATGGCCCACGTCGGCGGTGGAAAGACTGCGCTGTAAAGGACCTCCGCTCACGAGACCTTGAAGCGGACTGGTACCGAGTGGCCTATGACTCTTGCCCAGACTGGAGGTTGGCTTACACCTCGAACGCCCCGGATCCCCTCGTACCGGCACCGGTGACTTGTTTCACATGCGCCCGGCACTTCGCACGTCAGGGTGACCTCGCTAGGCACACGTGCACGCCTGAACGGCAAAAGCCGGTTTCGGAGCAGAGAGGTGCATGTCAGTGCCCTCGGTGTCATCGTTGGTTCCGGAGCCGCGGAGGCTTGGCTGTGCATCGTTGCTCCGCTTCTACCTCGTGCCCAGTACCGACCGAATCAGCTGCTGTTGTCACCGGTGACACTACCGCTCGGAGGTGCTGCAATGCTCACTGTGGCACCTGCAATCGTTGTTTCCGCTCAACCCAGGGACGCAACCGCCATCGCTGTTCAACGCACTGCCACCGACCAACGGCCAGAGAACGGGACAGGTTCCCGCATATGTGTATCTGCTCTCGCCGGTTCCGACTAGTCTCGCATCTGGAGCGCCATCGGGTGGCGTGCTCTTTCTGTCTCTCTGCTGCCCCTCCGGGGCCCACGTGACCCTAGTGGTAGTGGCTCTACAGGACAGGACAGGATGTGTGTGTGTGTGTGTGTGTATGTGTGTGTGTGTGTGTTGTGTGTGTGTGTGTCACGGTGTGTGTGTGTGTGTATGTGTATGTGTGTGTGTGTGAGAGAGAGAGAGAATGTGTATGTGAGATTTGGAAATTGAGTGTGTTTGTGTGTGTGTGTGTGAGTGTGTCTTCCTTCTCTTTCTCATTCTCCTATCTCTTCTTTCATTCTCCTGGGCGGTTACCAACAGCCAGTGCATGCCGGAATATGTGGTGTGGTGTGTGTAAAAAAAAATTAAAAATAGGGTTTCTCTGGCCAGAAAAAGCCACTTCAATCAGCTGTGTGGTGGATACCAGGCTAAAATTAGTGGCGGTCAATTCATCAGCCTTGCAAGCTGTTGAATGGTGTAATCCCAGCACTAGTTGCTATGTCTAAACATAGCTGTTCGCTATCATCGCTTCTGCGATGGGCAGGTCTGAGGTCTGAGGTGTGTATGTGAGATTTAGAGAATGTGTGAGTGAGTGTGTGTGTGTGTGTGTGTGTGTGTGTGTGTGTGTGTGTGTGTGTGTGTGTGTGTGTGTGTGTGTGATTTAGAGCGGTCCTCGGAAACGGTGGCGAGACTCTGTCAGAGCTGACCTCTCCGCAGTGAACATCGACCACACGGAATGGTACGACCTCGCCCAGGAGCGTGGGAAATGGCGCAGTGCGTATTCCGCTCAACCAGTACCGCGATCGGCTCAGCGTGACACTTCTGTGCTCTGCGATGTTTGCCAGCGTACTTTCGCCCACCAGAAATACAAGAATCGCCACAAGTGCCTGGCCGAGAGGAGGAAGCCCATATCTGAGCAGTCCGGCAGCCGACTATGTAATGCGTGCGGGAGATGGTTCTTGAGTGCTGGCGGGCTAGCTTCGCATAAGTGTCTCTCCAACTCGGCTGCTGAAGTGGCGTCGGTCTCGGCTGTGGCATCGGCAGACTCGGTCCGGAAACAGCGGGTTGCCCTGCCCTGCTGCAGAGCGCATTGTCTCAGCTGCGGTCGCTGCTGCAAGTCATCCCGTGGTTTCGACCTGCATAGCTGTGCTAATTTCCTGTCCAGGAAGTAGAGCGGCGTTTCTGGGTCCAATGCTGAACTCAGTGCTGTCGACCCCTGCACAGGGGACACGTGACCATTTGATGGCAGTGTTACCAAGGACCAAGGTGTGATTTAGAGAATGTGTGTTTGTGGGCGGGGGGGGGGGGGGGGGGGGGGGGTGCGTGTGTGTGAGATTTAGAGAATGAATGTGTGTGTGTGTGAGAGAGATATATAGAGAATGAATGTGCGTGTGAGAGAGAGAGAGATTTAAAGAATGTGTGTGTGTGTGTGTGTGTGTGTGTGTGTGTGTGTGTGTGTGTGTACGCACGTGTGAGTGTATGTGTGTGTGTGTGAGAAAAGGGAGAGAGTGTGGGTGTATGTGGGTGTAATGGTGTGGGCATGTGTGGATTTAGCATTTAAGTCCCCAGCTCTATTCTACTTGCAAGTATATCATTCATGGCGGAACTGCTGCTCCATAGCCCCAAGTCTGAAGACTTGGCAACTTCACGCCTGCACCTGCCTCTTGCGCTATGACACGCGTCGCCTATGATACCCTCAGAATTTCCCACCTTGCTCCCCCTTATGTTCTGGCTGCCCGTTTTGGATCCATCAGTTGCCTGATGATCGTAGTAATACGTGAAACTCAGAGTTGTAACAAAGCTTCCTAACTCTCTCTTGTGTAATAAGGAATTTACCAACTGGACTATTGTACTGGACTATTGTACTGGATAATTGTGACACAGAACGCTACATGTATTTACATAGATTATAAATTCAGACCCTTCACTTAAATTCATCTTTGCGCACAACGAGGCGAACATCAGGAAGCAACTCATTCCACAGAATGGCACCCCGGAAGCGAATGGACGATCAATCGTCACACAGGCCCTGGAAGGAAAGGGACGTGCAGAAGTCGCGTCATCTGTCCACGGGTAGCTCTGCGTTCGTGGTCGACCAGATCGGGGGCAATAGGTGTGTAGAATGACGAAAACAGTTGACTGGTGAGAGCGTGAAGACAATGGAAGACGAAGACAAGGACTTTCTGACGGCAGAGCTGCTCAATGGTGGATAACCGAAGTCTCTCGCACAGGGGCTGGGTAGCGACGGGGTCATTCAATCGCAAGACTATGCGGATGCCAGCCTTCGCTGATCTCTCAAGCCGTACTGGGCCCGAAGCAGTGAGAGAGCGGTAGAAAGAGTTTGCGGCGTAGCACAGCTTCGCCTGGATCATGGCAAGGTACCACGTCCACCGAGCCTGAAGACTCAGCTTTTGTGCGTGTGGTTCTTTTGTGTTTATTTTTGTAGTGTGTTACTTTTGACTTTGTTGAATTGTTTTTGTTGCACGTGCAGTCTTCTGTGCACCATGGAATGCTTACCTCCTTGTCACGTGTATCATTGATTTTTGTTTTGTCCTGCGCATACTCATATGCTGCCACGATGTATGTGCTTCTGATCAACTGGCTCCCTGTTTTCTTCTTTTCTTAGCTTGTGTGTGTAGATAAGGGTGCGTTCTTAAATTCTCTAGCTTCTAGAAGAAGAAGAAAAGAGAAGTCGAAGAATCTGGGATAATTCAAGAACGGGTCTCGAAGAATTCGGAGATATTTTTCACATGTCAAGCAAAATGAAGCGCCATAGGGGCCGCGATCTTGAGTGCCACGAATACAGTATGCGCTGTACGTGGAGGTATATTATGCTCCGCAGGCCGCGAAAGAGAGCCCGTTACCTGGACCCCTACTCGCGCGGGTAGAGCGAAACTGAGCACCCTGGGATGCGAGCAGCTTTTTAGTACTCCCGGGTCCAAAATCTCACCACCAGGCCGGGATGATCAAAACGTCTGCCGGGTCTGCAGCCTACAAACGTGGATCTGCCGACACTGTGCTGTCGACGACATGTCCGGCAAGGCACCTCCGGAGCTCCTTGCGTGAAAGCAAGGAACGCTTTTTTTTTAGAAAGGAAGCTTCTTCTCCAAAATTTAAAAATTTTGAAAATTATTCCTTCTGAAAATATCATCGCGTTCTTGACCTCGAAGCTGACTGCTGAATGCAATTAGGAAAGAAGATTCCTGAAGATACACCAGACTGATTCTGGCAAGCCGTCTGTCGTCTAGATATGCAGTTGTTCGTCATGCATGGTCAGCAATCTTCCTCGTTCGTCCTTTCGTTTTCCTGACCACGATGATGACAAGCAGCTCTCATGCTCAGGTTAGTGCTGTACTTGTATGTCTGGGCACACAACACATCTGAGATGCACCCACTGACGTTATCGAACTGAAGAATGCAGCAAGGGTTCCTCGGATTCTCTTGATTTCGGAACAAATTTCCTTCACTTTCACCCTCTCAGTCTCTTCCCCATGCCCTCCATGCATGCACAATGCAGCTTGCATTTCAATTGCTGTTTTTTATACTTTGGCAGTGCCTCTGCTACACTTTCATATAGAGTGAGGTCCTGTAAATAGGATCGAACATTGTTGGTTGTGGTGTGTGTGTGTGGGGGGGGGGGGGGGTACGTTTGCAGCCAGGATGTAGGAATGACACTTCTGCACAGCAGGTGGCAATAGTCAAAACTGGTCACTCTACAAATCCCATACCTGCCAACCTTTGCAAACCTGAGATCCAATGACATACCTAGGCATGAAAATGTATACAAAAGAAGCTCGCGGTGAGGCATGGAACTAGTGCACTTTTGGGTGCCTATTACCGCCCTCGATATCGGGACGGTCCCGGCCAAATCGGGATGGTTGTCAGGTATGAAATCCCAACCGAGAAAACCATTTAATTAAAAGAAAAACGCGGCCAGGACATAGCGACTTTCTGTTTGCCGGGGGGGGGGGAGGGTCATCGTCCGCAATATTGGTAGAGTTACGGTTACATTGTATATGTAGATACATGTGCATCAGGGATTCATAGCACCTGGGGAGACGACATGAGACCTAAGTACCCAAAACGTTGTGAGTTGTGACCCCGGATGGGGTAGTTCTACGTGATCTGTGTTTCTATAGACCTTATTCGATAACGTGATTTTTGGACTCACCTCCAGGGATTTGTTGTAAGCTGGGGCACGCGTACGTGAAACGAGTGGCAAGAAAGGCCCAGTTCGTACAAGGGAGTAGTAAAATACCGGTATTTTTCTACTCCTATGTTCCCACGCCGAGTCCACTGTGCACTGAGTGCAGGTCTCTTGCCGCTCCCTGGTTCCCGGGACCCTGGTTCACGTGATTGTGACGTTTATTGAATAAGGTCTACATGTATATGCGGGCATGCATAAATCAACCCTTCCACAAGGACGGCTCAAACAGGCAGCCAAGGAGTGAAAATTTCGCTCCTGGGGCTAGGAGTGAAACGAAGGCCTCAATTTGCCAGATGAACCTTCTCCATCGAAACGAACGAAGGTGTCGAATAAATCTTTTACCAGTTCACAGTTGCCGTTCACGCGCACTCCCCGGGGTGGGGGGGCTACTATGCACTTGTAGTGATACTTACCATAAGCCAAGTGGAACACGACTAGTTGACTGCACAGACTACAGTACAGTATACATGCACATGTATACAGTGAAGATCAGTGCGTGCATGCCTGCCATAATCGTATGTTGACCTTCGTTCGAATTGAAAAGAGAGGGTTGTTTCGAAAAAGAAAAAAAGCTCGATGGAAGTATGATGCTGCTGACAATTCAAGACTCACTGAAGTCGCCTTTCTGGAATGGATCATGCACTCTAGGTTCATCCAATTGGATATGGACTCAAATCATTGTTACACCATTATTGTTTGGTTAGTTATTGTACATCCCATAGCATGTACAATCAACCTTGTGAATAATCTACCTCGGGTTTACAAAACAACTCGCAAATAACGACACAATCTTCAGATCTAGTGAACATTTGATTGCATACTTCCAACCTCACGAGTAACAACAATGCGAATAGCGACACTTTTCTCATTCACAATCGAGGGTCAGTATTCCCCAGATTGACTGCAATTGCCAATCAAACGGGAGGGGCGAAAGTCGACCACGGCTGAAAAGGCATAAAGAAAAATTAATGTATATCATGAGCTAGATGGCTGAAGGAGGAAGTAGGTTTTCTGAGAAAGCAAGAAACAGAGGTGAATGAAGCACCAGGTCTGTCCATGCAGTGGATAGAATTATTGCATTGAAAGACAGGCTCTTTACATCAGCTTGCTACTATTATACCTACATTTGCTTTCTGCCTTTTTCATGCAGGATTCTGAAAGCTGGAGCAGCTCTGCTTACCTCGACCACTGAACTTACAACTAACTTCCAACCAAGTACAAGGCAATATTATGATGAATCAAGCACGCTTGCCATCATGTCATCATTGCAAAGTACATCGACAACATAGATTTGGTGCCGACTATGTATGATGTAGAGTGTGCTCTATGTATCTATACTACTGATTGGCCTACATTGTACTTATGTGGGCTGAGAGTAATCGATTGTGCTATATGGCAGTTTACTTGTATGTCATAGATGTTAACATTGCACACAGCTTCTGAAATGCTTTCTGTTGCACTGGCCTACTGCGGCCCACTGCAAATAGATTGTAGTGGCATGGGCCATGCCATAATTATAGTAGTATACCGGTACTACACCAACAATTTCACTGGTGCACTGTACTTACTGGTACGAGTAGATCTACATCATGCACAGCCTTGTCACTGCTTTTCTCATTTTTTATTAATTTACTGTACTGTACACATTCTGGCACAGCTCTTCCACAAAGAGTTACTAGTATTTTCTTCTGCATACCTACTGTATACAGTGACCTGACTGGTAACATCTATGGCTGTGAAATCACAAATTTCTGGGTTGACAGCCTCGAACCTATACGATTTGTTTCTAAGAACGTGCTATAAGAAATTTTCTATTGAAGTATTCTACTGTAGCTCGCAGGACATGGAGTGCAATTACGTAAAGTTTGGAACACCACTCTTCTGTGATTTGGATGTCAAATTATGAAATTCAGTGTGTGAGGTAAACCCATGCATGGCATACACTGCTATAGTATGACTCGGGGTAAAGTGTTCCAACGCATACTCATTATAGTGAATAGTTGTGTGACCAACGTTGTTGCTGCTGGATAAATAGTACATATTCTGAGATAACTGAAGCTACACAGCCATCTAATGTTCAGACATGCATCGAAGGGGCCGTAACGAGATCTGCAAGGCATGATTCTATACCTGTATTTGATGCTCTCTAGCCTAGGACATTCACCTGCCTCATTTTCTCTGTGCTGCATTGATGAGTCCATTAGTAACTAAAGGACGAAACAGCATGCTGTCTGCAGATTGGTAATTGTGTAAAGACAGACGTGTATGTAGTGGTAAAGCTCAGATACATGTGCAACATAACAATCCCGGTGTTTGACAACAGCACAAACCTACACCGCAATTCTTAATTTTGGGCTGTGGTGTTCTTAGTATTCCAGGTTGGATGTTCTGTAGGCTTCCACGTTCTTGGGCGCACGACTTTACTGTGCCGAAGAATATTTTCAGCCAATGAACCCAGAGCTTGGTGGCAGATGAGTGCCATGGAACAGCCTTTTGCATGTGGCTTTCACTACATGCACATGTATAACGTTCAATTGATGCGGAAAAATCAGACGAGGACTTTTGCAGTTATGAGCAAGGTCCCCACGAATGGTCATGTCACTTCACAGAATACATGAACTGATAGAGGAGACCTCGGTCCCCTCAGAGAACGCTTGGGGAAGTCGGGTTCAACCATAGATTTATACTTAACAGAGAACGCTTGGGGAAGTAGGTTCCAACCATAGATTTATACTTAATATTCTTTACAACAAGGATCGATGTGTTCCTTCGGATGCCCTTTATCGACTTTCACACACTTCTCTCTCCTTTCGTCATAAGCACCATCTCTGTACACTGGTTCATAAAATATTTCTTCATAAAACCCCTTCACACATAATGAAGTACAATTGGTTTTCGACAAGCTCAACCCGTAACGCGCTTATCCTGCCTCTTGTTAAGTCAGCCCGGTATCTAAAGCCCCCCTTGTTTTCCGGTTATTCTCATTGGTTAACTGGGGACATGTCCAAAACCATACTAAGTACTTGAGCTGCTCATGAGCCCCACAATTATCAGGCCCGCCGGTCTGGTTGGTCAGGTTATCACCAGACCAACTTGTTGGCCACCAACAAACGTTTCCTACCGTGGAGGACGTGTGTACCCGCCATGAAACTACCGGACCAATCAAAAACTGCTTCCGGCGGTACTGATTATAGTACAGGTTTAAGTTAAAAAGCGGCTCCATTTTGTCATACATTAAACCAACTCTGTCATTGCTATGCTACTCAAAAAGAGTAGTGATGTTTATTCACAAATGAATCACAATGCTATCAGAGAAATTCGATATTCTCCAATTTTAGGGGCACTGCAATACTATCCAAAATTAATGCTGCATGGTCATTGTTATGAAGCAGTCACCTCAGTACAGCAATTAAACAGACTGATTATGTGAACGAGATTCACGGCAAATCTTCTTCCATCAGTGCTGTTCAGTCTTGAGTGGTCCACTGAGACAGGAAAACAACCTGTTCGGTCCTTCCATACGAGAAACAGAAATTGAACATGTTCCAGGGCGGAGGTGGCGAGTATCGGCAATGTAATGCACCTTTAGGCCAACATGACCATCATTCCGACATGGATTCTCAAACACCTTCGCTCGCGAGAGTGCCTCAGAGTGGTATTCATCAACAGATGGCAATCCTGTAAAACACATGAAAAGACATAGCAGCAACAGAAAGAAACCTAATGTTATAGAAACGAATTCGAAAAACAAAGTCTACTATTATTCTAATACAGTGAACCAAGGTACAACCACACTCCAGGAGGCAAGCAAAAGAGCATATAATCCGAAGGTTGCGATGCCTGTATGTATTGTATTTATGTATTTACGGATTCTCCACAGGCTAAATCGAGGGAGTCTTTGTCATGCCACACTGGATACAACATGCTACCAGAATCACTTTCCCCAGAATTGATGATCTTTTCTTAGGGTGTTATATAAGACACATCTGTAGCCACTTCATCTTGCTCACGAAATCATACACCACCACACAAACGGGTCCTTCGGCTATTATACTTTGGGTGGTACATGGTGATGTATGATATTGATAATCTATTGATACCATATTCAAGTCTGACTCTCACCGTGAGATCCTGGCAACAATATTACCTGGTACACGACATATTCAGACACTGACATAAGCATCTTTTTGGAACAACAGGTGTGCCTATCTGCTAGTGTAATGTGACACACATGCAGAACACATGCAGAATCAGTCATAGCTAATTTTACCCCCTCGCTGTTGTATGCGCAGACTCCACTTCGCGGTGTCAAGTACTCTTCTTTCGGTGGGCTACTCCACTAAGGCGCTTGTCTAAAAGGACTCACATTCATCCTGCAAACCAACACGACTTGCATAGTTTTCACTGTCGGCCAAAGTGCGTGCATTGCACACATTGAGATTCACTCCCTCCGTACAGGCCAGTACAGAGCTGCCCACCAATTGAGTCTGTTTTGCGTACTCAGACTTCTGATTTTCCGTATCTTACAGTGTTTTGCGTACTGCCGTGTACATTGCATGCATACTTGCACTGTAATGTTTTTTGACACGCACATGCATGTCGGTGGCTGCATTTGGTAGTGTAAAACATGTGTGACTTGCACTCACGACATTATTATTTTTGTGCTACATGTACATGTTGTTGTGGTACGGCATGCACTCGCTTTGGTACAAGACTATTCATCACTCAGCTTACACTTGCAATGCTTCTACACAGCTGATTGATCCTCTCCGATTTTCTATACCATTTGCTCAATTTCTGTAGTGCGCACAAGGAGTGATTTTCCGTACAAATACAGAAAATATGGAGGGCTGGTACTTGGTAGCACTGCTAGTATGGTAGTACCAGGCTAAGCTGGCTGGAAGATCAAATACTTCTTTGGTTCTTTCAGTCATTTTCACGACATATGTTTTCTTTATCATGATCCCCGGGGTGTGACATTCTTATGAATGCAGAAACTCAGTCTTTCTAACCGAGTCTCACGTGCAGTGTGAATTTGTTCTTCTTTTCTTCACAATGCCATGTATCGATTCATCGCTTCTTCCCACCCGAGATCCTATGCAACAGCGATTTAAAGATTGGCTTTATCAAATAGTTAATTCAGAGAGAGAGGATCAGTTGTGGATGCTGTGACAGCATAGAGTGTAGATTGGTGTAAACATCATTGCCCAGCAGAACCGTATTCACAGGGATCTGCGTTTAGCATATGGAAGCTATTTTTTTAGAATTTGTACACGTCCAATAAGCCTGAAGAGAAGAACACCTAACTTAGACTGTCCTAACGTTATCGAACGCACTGCCAAAGTAAAAACAACATTTGAAATGCAAACTCGATTGTGCATGCATGGAGGGCATGGGGAAGAGACTGAGAGGGTGAAAGTGAAGGAAATTTGTTCCGAAATCAAGAGAATCCGAGGAACCCTTGCTGCATTCTTCAGTTCGATAACGTCAGTGGGTGAATCTCAGATGTGTTGTGTGCCCAGACATACAAGTACAGCACTAACCTGAGCATGAGAGCTGCTTGTCATCATCGTGGTCAGGAAAACGAAAGGACGAACGAGGAAGATTGCTGACCATGCATGACGAACAACTGCATATCTAGACGACAGACGGCTTGCCAGAATCAGTCTGGTGTATCTTCAGGAATCTTCTTTCCTAATTGCATTCAGCAGTCAGCTTCGAGGTCAAGAACGCGATGATATTTTCAGAAGGAATAATTTTCAAAATTTTTAAATTTTGGAGAAGAAGCTTCCTTTCTAAAAAAAAAGCGTTCCTTGCTTTCACGCAAGGAGCTCCGGAGGTGCCTTGCCGGACATGTCGTCGACAGCACAGTGTCGGCAGATCCACGTCTGTAGGCTGCAGACCCGGCAGACGTTTTGATCATCCCGGCCTGGTGGTGAGATTTTGGACCCGGGAGTACTAAAAAGCTGCTCGCATCCCAGGGTGCTCAGTTTCGCTCTACCCGCGCGAGTAGGGGTCCAGGTAACGGGCTCTCTTTCGCGGCCTGCGGAGCATAATATACCTCGTACGTGTGCGAAAAGGGAAATGCGTACACTCATGATCAACACGTGGCTTTTAGCCTAGTTCGCATGCCCGGATCCCAAACCGCGGGAATCTCCAAGTTTCAACCACCTCTGAAGCTTGGAGGGCTTGGAGAGCTTTGGAGAGCCTCCTAAAATTTGGAGAGGATATTAAAACAGCTCTCGAACATAGCAATGATAGTGCTGGCTCTGGGCGTTCATTTCTTGGCGTGTACCGTATTATCTCTAATATAAGCACAGTCTCCAATAATAGCACGTCTCGAATAATAGAACACCTTGGGGCGGCATTCAAAAAATAAAGTGCTCAGTATCCATTATATATAAGTTTCCGTGCATGGCACGGTAAGTGAAGTTAGCAACCCACCAACAATTACATTCCTAACATAATTTGCACGTACTTGCCATAGCGCATCACGTGCCCGTGCAGAACACGCACTCCGAACTCCCGCGCCCCGGCACGGGACCACGCGGAGCATGCGCATTACTCCGGCTCTCGATGCTGCTTCTTCTTCATCCTTGCTGCGCCAACAGTCAGATCGCTTGACAACCTTGGCCAGTTTTTGAGCTGCGCTGACGCAGTGACGGTCAAATTGTTTGACAATCGCGGCCAGTTTCTGATCAATATCCGATCAACCATGTCTCTGTCAGTGAGCGATGTCCAGCCATAACGCTCTTTGCTTTGCTGCCTTGACGGTCAAATTGTTTGACAATCGCGGCCAGTTTCTGATCAATATCCGATCAACCATGTCTCTGTCAGTGAGCGATGTCCAGCCAAAATGCGCTCTGCTGAGCTGCG